ATCCAGGCATAGTTTGTGATTCCTTTCCCCCATAAAGCTTCAAAATTGGACCTTACATTCGCTAAAAAAGGGATCGAGTAAAAGGAAATTGACGCTGACATATCTGCAGCTGTACTATCTAAAATTAAAAATCAATTTGTGGTACTTGGCACCTGAAATTTCCCCCTTAGCATTTTTCGACGACAATGTCTCTGTATATGAAAAAAGGAAAACGGTTGAGGCATTGAAAAACTATAACCCACTGTCTGAGGGAGCTAAGAAGGTAAAATTTACATATATCCTTGATTTGCACAGAAAAAAAATTCTTGTCTTCCCAAATAATGATTCAAACTTATTTTGGTTGAGAATGGAGCTTCCGGATGATTTCTTAGCCAATGATCCGGCAAGCTGGAATGAAAACGAGTCATGCAAAATCTACAGTGATATTGTTAAATAAATTAAAGTCATCAATGTCGTGGCCGAACGCGGTATAAAGTTAATAGACGAGTGCGAGAACATTTTGACGAAGGATGAAACTCAGCGGGAAAGTACAATGCAGGAAGTAGCAGAGTATAGACAAGTATTCCACAAAATCGACAAAACAACATAATGTCAAAAGGGTTTTAACTGTTAGTCCTGTAAAAATGCAAATCATGAATTTGCCCACAGACTATCAATGTCTAGGATCTTTTAATTTTTTATTTGAATTTGTGCCTAGTTTTTTTTGAAAAAGGTGAAAATTAAAATTTTACTCCATCTAATATCTATTTTTCGCCCGCACCTCCATTATACATTTCAAAGCAATTAAAGGCTACAAAACTCTAACGATCGAATATTGTAAAATATAATTCCTCCTTTTTGTGATTATTTAGCGGTTTCGATTTTTGCAACAATCCGGTTTACTTATAAACACCCAAAAATACTTGTGGCGTCCAACATCTCGCATAAGCCCCCTAATTAGGCATGAAAAATATTAATGATTATTGTTTGATGTGTGGGATGAGGGGGGGGGGTGTAAATGGATAAGTAGGATAAGAAAAATATGTACTTCGTGCCGCCAGAAATATTTCTGATCATTTTAAGAGCAAATCACGGTATTGAAGTTTTGTGCCAGCTTGCCCTTTCCCATGATTTTATGGTATGAAAATGAGTTTTTCTCAAAACAATCCGTAAAAATAGTTGACATTCTCTAAAATTACGGAAAAAATTGTCCCAGGAGAAAGAGTTTAAAGACTGTGCGACCTTTTCATCACGTCTAAAAGGTCCAGCGAAGCGGAGGGAAAACGCTACTTTTCAAAACTTGAAAGTTGCGGTTGTGCTTTGACACGATTTTCGGACATGAAAAGCAACTGTTTCTGACAACCCAAGTCAAAACTGTTCACATTTCCTAAAGGTACCTAATAAAGTGAGCCTGTAAAAAAAGAAAAAAATTTAAGACCATGAGATCATTTAATCAGGGTCAGGCGCGGTTCCGCCAAACGCCAGAAAATGACATTTCCCAATAATTCGAACTTCCCGCGAGGCAACTTCAAGGCCGATGCACCGCCACTGAATATTATCCGAGAGGTCTGAAACTTGGTGGGGATCTTTTTCCGGTCAAATGGAACAAATCTAGGGGGCGGCACAGTTCATATTTCCGACATGCCAAAAGTGGGCCACCCGAGCGAGCCGCTGATCCAGCATCCACTATCTCGGACCCCTTTACCATACGGTTGGTGGCCAGGTTTCGCTGGGGCCACGATGCGAACAAGAGGTCAGAAGACGCGGCTTTGACGCGGTTCAACGACTGCTGTAGGTTCCTAACTGCCGTCCGCCACGAGGCGCCCGAAGTTATCGGAAGCCTCGAGAATTGCGTCGTCCCGGCGAACTACCCCGCTGTCCTGGCCGGAGCCAAAGCCATTTCCGGTTTCGACCCAGCCACCCACCGAGTCACAACATCGGGGACCGTAGACCGGTTGCTCGCTCACCTCCATGACGCCGTATACCTGAGGCGTGAGGAGACGTCCATGTCTAAGGAGCTACCGGAGGAGAGGAAGAAAGAAGTTATAGAGGAGTGTCGGCGGTTCGACGACCTTCTAAGCAGTGCGTGGCCGGTCGACATAAGGAAGCACGCAACCCTTACAACGCTGCGCCAACCCCGCTGAAATCCCCATCTCCACCGACATACATGCCATGTTCCACGAGGCTAAGCTGCTCGTCGACCGGTACGCCGCTCCTCTACCGTACAGTGTCACCAAGCATAGTTTCGTACACCTCAGCGAAGCGTTACTGGCATCACTAGCCATTTACAACGGGCGTCGAGCTTCGGAAGTTTCTGAGACGCCTTCCGAATCCTTTCGGAGCCGCCCAACGGAAGAAGCCCTGCAGAGGGAGCTCCACGTGGTCCCGTTGCTCGACCGAGTCGTTGGAGTCCAGCCCGCTGATCTGAGCGACTACAGCCACTGCCCGGGAGAACAAGAGGCCAGTGGCAATCATAGTACCCCGCTTGCGTTTCCCCAGCAATGAGCTCCTGACTGAAAAGAGAGAGGCCCTCGGGATACCACCGCGGAGAAGAAGTCGTCGGCGAAGAAGGGCAATAATCACGACGGAGATGATGACTCGAGTCCCGTCAATCGTCTACGTACTCTTCGCTGGGCCCGAGTCGCAGAATCCATTCGATATGGTACACGTTTTAAGACACCTCAGAGAACGTCTCGCCAGGAATAACCGGTTTCGGCTCCCGGGATTGGTCACAACGCGGGTAATCGGTACCCGGCTAGCGACCATGGCCTCGGAGCGGTCGGATCGACGGGACACCGAGGTGCTTAACGTTCACCTGGATGGTCCAACCTTACAGCTCAATCTGCTGCAGTGTTTTGCCTTCTCCGGGCGCCATGCGCCAAATGCCCCTAAAAATCGGGCCTTGGCGCCTAAAAATGGGGGGGGGGGGGCATCGTGGCGGCTAGAAAAGGGGGGGGGGGGGGGCTGGACCATCGTGGCACCTAAAAAATTGGACAGATTTAAGTCACAATTGGGAAGCAAATTTTCATTCGCCATGGCCCGTATGCAAAAATTTAATTTGGCTCATAAAATAAGTAGATGGCTCCTAAAATATTAGGGGGAAGGCAGAACACTGATCTGCTGTTTTCATCTAATGCACAACCTTAGTTCTCAAGAAATATTCAGTGGCTCAGCTTTCTTGTCGATGACGTTTAAGACTCCCTTCAATTGTTGATTTCTCACCTGGAGTTATTGGGGTCTTAAACAATATGTGTGAACAAAGCAGCGACAAGCCATAGAGAAAGCGGTCAGGTTTACTTGCGTAATAAGAGAAATGAGATTTGTTTACTAACACTTAAACGGACAAACGATTCATACAGGATCAACTGCTTTGATTGACTTTAATCAACGGGTGAGATCATCTTTTGCGCATAGCAAGATATATGAACACAAGTATAAGGTTCCTAATGACAAGGAAAGAGCAGTTACAAATAAAATCAAAGAGATAAGACACTCTAGAGTAGCAACTCCACATAGATAAACTGTTACAGATGAAAGGACAGGACTCACTCAGAACCAATCCTGCTGAATGAAATTGACAAACCCAGAGGACTGAATTGCCAGCAATTCAAAATCCATCACATAAATGACACGCCTAAAACGAAGCCATGAGAAATACTCAAAATTGAAGAAAACAAGCTGCTTTTTTTAATAAAGGAAGATGAGGCTGAACAGAACAAAAAAAAATAAATAAATAAATAAAACAGATAAGTCAGGCCTGCGGTGGAGTTGAATAATTTCATTTCTTTGAATTTATTTAATTATTTAAAATAGTTACTTGACATAATCGCCAGAACATCAATGACACCTAATGACCTAATCCATATACATAAGGAAAAATGTGACATGTATATTATAAAAGTAGGGGGCCCTGCCCCCTAACCGCTACGCTGCCCAACCCTCGGGAGGGCGCCTCAGGCCCGCCTCGCGGGCCCTATACGCATATGTATAGGCAAAAATGTTCTTCTATTTTAATACACCACTAGAGGGCTGCGCCCCCTGACCGCTCCGCGGTCCAACCCCCCAGAGGCGCTTCGCGCCTTTAATTAGCAGATATCGTGAGATCGTTAGAAGATCATTAAGAGTTAGGGAAAACCCGGTTTAGAGACGGCGGGAAGCATGTGAGCGTGCGCGGCGGGAGGGGAGCGGGGAGTGGAGGAGAAACCGAGCGTTACTATTTAGCGTGACACCCTCAGTGTGACACGGCACCCTTATGATTTTATACTATAGAGTAAGATTTTGTGTTCAAGCTGCATCGATTTCAAATTTTTTGACGTAACACTCAGATTTGTAAATGATGAGGAATAGCTGGATGTACATAATTTCACAGTCCATTTACTGGAGAAACTTCCATTTATTATGTTATTTTTAAACACTTAATTAAAAAAAAAAAAAAAAAAAAAAAAAAAAAAAATCGGATTTCGACCGTTCAGTTAATAATATTTGGTCCGTCCCAACGCGACGCAGCGCCTGCCTTCTCACTTTGTATCTGCTGTTTATCTGCTGTAAATATTATATAAATAAAAATATAAATATAAAATATAAATATATAATATATATAAATATACGAAATATATATATAAATTCATACGATCAAGTAAATTGACCAATGCCACAAATCGAAGCCGGAAGAATGCAGGAAAAACTGAGTTAAACCTTATACCTTGGACCTTGAACCTTGCACCCTGAGCGATGCACCGTTCCTCAACTCTTCGAATGAGGAGCTCTTCACGAGCTTTTCCATTGTTTTATTGTTTATTCGAGTCACTCAGGTAGAATCCCACACCTTGACGTTTCTAGCGGAAACGACATATCTCTCACGCTATTAACATTGGACTTAAGTGACATGAGCTTTAAAAGCTCTACAACATTAAAAGTTCGGGGTTTCATAATTTCTTGCACATCTACATCTACTACAGATGACATACATGTAAAGATCATCCTTATCGGTCCGGCAGTTCGTCAGAAATAGTGCTTCCAAGATTTTGCTTGTAGCTGTATAATATAGATTGTCGCACATACTTGGTAGTTTTGGGTGTCTGAACAAACGGCGAGGTTTCTGTAGAAAAGGCGTGTCATACATATGTAACTGGTCTAAAAAGTCAGTTGAAACAAAAAATATCAAGAGGATATAAAATTCAGAATCAAAATTGAAGGGTAGTCTAACATTTGAGGAGAAGCTAGAGCAAAACTACTGCGCAAAGCGTTTCTTCGTCGGTAAAATCGTAGTCAAGCGTTTGAAAATAATTGGAAAAATATAAAATATTAATTTAAATTTGCCGATATAGATTAAAATGCGAAAATTCCATTCATCAAAGATTACATATCTTCCATTACTCATCGCCACATCCTCCGATTGCTGAACCATCCAAACCTCCTGACCCTTGTCTTACTGGGCGAAACAGTCCAGAGATTGAAAAGACAGCAAATCCTTGGTATCTACTTCAGTGCGGACACTCAAGATCCCTGAAAAACAAAACATTCAAATAACTATCTCAAAAATCATTGTAACTTAACCAAAAGAGAACCTACTAATAGAATTCAACCAGAAATATCCTCTATTAAGACATAGCTAATCAATAGCAAAAAACCTAATCCCTCTTTACAGTAATCAATCGATTTGCTAAATTTGCCACCTCATGTGATAGCGTTGCCACATGAACACCCACGGTGGGTTTTAAACACTTTTCATGCGGTCAACATACCACCCGTGAATTTTTTGCGACAATGTCAACTAGGAGCCTACTGATTGAAGAACAACCAAACGCGTAATCTGTAGTTTGGCCGTTTTTTAGAAAATGCGATTTTTCGCTTTTTTGGCGGGTTTTCCGGGTCAAGGTGATGAGAAAGTCTAGTTACCCGTTTCTGCGACTTGTAAATGCATATCCTACACATTTTTAGTCAATCAAGTGTCAGTAGATGGCTATTTGTGCATAATGTCTCATAATCATATCCTTAAATCCTCGATTTTCGGGTTTTTTGGGGGGTTTTCTAGCGTTTATTTAGTTTAGCTCTTAGGTCTCAAAATTGACGTAAATTCTCCAGGAAAAGGCGGTTTCCCAGGTAATCGACCTCAAGAAATCCAAATTTCGTGGTCCCGAAGCTCCTCCAGCTCCCCTTGGGGGGGTAAAAGGGGGGGCCCAATTTTAAAAACCGGGGCTCCTTTCCGAATCGCAAATTGATTGCATCCAAATTGAGGAGCAGAACACATTTACATCTTAAGTGACTCCTAAGAGTTCTAATTGACCCCCCCTGAACGGCAGAAAGTAATCCCCTGAGGATGGGGGCCTCGCCCCCGCCAAAAATTTCTCAGGATTCCTCTTTGGTCGCAAAATTGACGTCGATTCTCCAGAAAAAGACGGTCTCCCATGTAATCGACCCCGAGGAGCTCAGGGAACATGAAATTTAGAGTCCTCGGGGTCGATTACATGGGAAACTGTCTTTTTCTGGAGAATCGAAGTCAATTTTGCGACCAAAGAGGAATCCTGAGAAATTTTTGGCGGGGGCGAGGCCCCCATCCTCAGGGGATTACTTTCTGCCGTTCAGGGGGGGTCAATTAGAACTCTTAGGAGTCACTTAAGATGTAAATGTGTTCTGCTCCTCAATTTGGATGCAATCAATTTGCGATTCGGAAAGGAGCCCCGGTTTTTAAAATTGGGCCCCCCCGTTTACCCCCCAAGGGGAGCTGGAGGAGCTTCGGGACCACGAAATTTGGATTTCTCGAGGTCGATTACCTGGGAAACCATCTTTTTCTGGAGAATCTACATCAATTTTGAGACCAAAGAGGAATCAAGGAGGGGGCTACTGGCCCCCTCTTTTGGGGGTAATTTTTGGGCCTTGGATGGTCCGACTACGGATTTTTAGGGGTCAATTCCACGTGAAATTTTCCGTGCTTTTCAATTCTGATGCGATTAATCCGCAATTCGGTCGGGAACCGTGCCTTTTAGCATCGTGACCCCCCTTTACCCCCCAAGGGGGGGGGGGGGTTTCGAGACCACGAAATTCGGATTCCTTGGGGTCCATTCCCTATTCAACCCCGCGGTCTCCGACTTCATACGACCTAAAACAACCGAGAAAAAGGCCTGGTACGGGTGGTCAATTCGGTCGGGAACCGTGACTTTTAGCATCGTGACCCCCCCTTTACCCCCCAAGAGGGGGGTGGGGGGTTTCGGGACCACAAAATTCGGATTCCTTGGGATCAATTCCCTATTCAACCCCGCGGTCTCCGACTTCATACGACCTATAACAACCGAGAAAAAGGCCTGGTACGGGTGGTCTGAAACACCCTATATTGCAAACTGAGATGTCTCAATTTCTCATGCCAATTACGAGTTTCCTCCACGAGGAAAACTTCCGATTGTTCGCGACACACTTTGCGTTTAACCAGAAAATGGCCCTGTTGTTTATAACCTTTTATTATTATCTCACCATTTTTGCAAATAAGAACCATATCCTCCTTGAATATCACTTCGCCTCCATTCTTCAGGATAGCGTTAACAGAAAGTAAGTTTTGACGTAAATTCGGCACGTATTGTACTTCATTAAGAACACATTCTTCACACATTTTTCCTCCTTCATATCTTGAGTTTCTGTTAACAGCTGTAAAGACTAGACGAGGTGTGAGGAGCTTCCACTGTCAACGACAAAATCTTCAGTTGTCCCATTAGCAGCGTAAAAACAAACTGTTGAATCCCCATCATTGTTTGGTGATCCTTGCCTTAATTTTTCTGTTTTTCTGCAGGTTGCGTTGGTGTGGTTATTCATTCTACAAGTTGAACACCACCTCTTTTCGGCCCCTTTTGTGCCAATCCCTTTGAATGCTTCAGTTTTGTGTCCATGTATGTTACATTTTTCACATTTAGGGTCCTTTCTTATATCATATGAACTCCTACAAAATTTCATTTTGTGTCCATCGTTGCCGCATTTATAACATTTAAATTTACGGTTTGCTATGAATGCTATACTTTCATTCTCACTTGACTTTTCCTTGTTGTCTTCCGCTTGAAGTCTCTCAATTAAGTCAGTGAGTTTCTGCTCAGTTTTATTTTGTATCTCCCATGATAGGACCAAATTATTAAGTCTGTCTGGTAAGGTTGTTAAAATTTTTGAAATGAGCATTTGCTCGTCCACACCAGCTTCAACTAATTGTAGACGGCTATACAAGTTTTGTAATTCACTTACATGATCCATCAGTTTCGAACCTTGTTTGAATTCCTTGCTGAAGAACTCCTTCAATAGGGTGCACTTCAAATCTGGACCAGCTCTGCCAAATAGCTCCTTCAGTTTGATGAACATATCATGCTCTGTCGTTAGGGTCATTAGGTGTAACAGGATACTCTTGTCCACCGTTGATACTATGAATTTTCTTCCCATCGCATCGCATTTATTCCACTCCGCTAGTCTTATCTCAAAGACTGTATTCTCTTCTGTGGCACCTTGTATCGGTTTCTTCGTGCTTCCGTTTACTACGTTGAGTATATTACTGGATTCGAAATGTATTTGTATTTCGAAGTCCCATAGTTGATAATTTTCTTTATTCTTTAACCTCGTTACCCGGTTCAATTCACTGTTGTTTTCATCGGTCATTTTTATTATTTGCGTTACACTAATCAATAATCAAAACATGTGAGAGTCACGTTACACTCTTTGTAAAATTAATTGTACTTTCATGAGCTGCGTTAAGCTCTGAAGGGTATTTGTTGAATTACGAGTCTCGTTAAACTCAAAAAGAAACTTTGATAAGTCCCGTTAAACTCATTGGATTGTCTGTTACATGTATCGCACTTAATTTCCACGCGAGGCTCGGGGTAACACGATTCCTCGTTTCATCATTTTATTCGCTTGCATAATTTTCCTCACATAACTTATCGCTAAGGCTAAAATTGTTGTCACTGCAATGAATAAAATTGGCGAGATGACCCACCATTGGGCTTCGTCATGGTTAAAATTTATGTTAGCTTGTCCCGATACCTTCTGGCTTTTATCTTCTTTTGACAAAGAACCACCCATTTCTTTCGTCTCAATGTTTAACCACTCTTTCGGAATTCCAGTCATTAACTCCAGTCATTTCACTTTCAAAACGGCATAGCGTTAACTGCCAATCTAAATTCGTTAAAAAATGACTTCACAATGAAGTAGATCGCTACCATAAAAACACTGATGAGAGTCACGCTATGGCACCATACGCGAATCTCTGGGCCCCTAACCCTTCGAGTTATATGGAAACATACAATAAAACTAACTCCGAATATATATTAATAAATGCAAATAAGCATGTTTTATTATGAGCGTATAGTCACATTACAAAGAAAGACCGACGACTGACTTAGATCTTCCCGTACACACCTAAAAAGAAAATTGTAGAAACAGAATGTTATGAATTCCACAGTTGTTTTGACAAACACGATTGACCTCACTCCGATCTCAACAAGTTTTGATTGGTTTTACAGGAAAAGAGAAACATTTTATTTGAAACAAATAAATTCAACAAAAAGTATCTAGCCGTCATTCTCGAGTACTAAGATCATCTCCTTAGTCAAAAATAAGAATAACAAAACTAATGATAAGGTAAAAATAGACCGTCTCATTAGTAAAAAAATAAATAAAATATAACATGGGAACAAATGTTGCACACAAAAGTTTAACTTCACACGTGAGAACACTTGTATTCAACGACAGCTCTTAGAAGTTGGACAAGGTTTTTTTGGCAAGCAATCGAGTGAGCCTGTGCACCATGATTTTGTACAAGCTTGGTAAAAATATAAGGTTCCAAAGACCCATCCAAATCATTCTCCCCGGCTTCTGAGAGATGTCATTGACGTTTTAGCTTCAGAAGTGTTTCAAGCAGCTGATCGAGTTGAATTTCAGTCTACAAATATTGAAAACCTTAGCTTTAAACAGCGGATTAGGTAGAATGTAAGGCTACCAATAAAAGCCCCAGCTTAGGAGACCTATCGAAATCAGATATATTGCTGGGTCCTTAGAGCGTAGAAAATATTTGACAGGTACTTTGACCTCCTGTCAAATGTTTTAACAAGAAGACAAAACTAAATCCTGGTCTCTGATTGGTTAATAGTGCAGCCCATGGCGAACATTCCTTCATCAATTCCTTGTTTTCCTTTTATTCCTCTCAAACATTGGTGATGACATATCGCGACATCTGGCGGAGCTAGTTCGCAACCGATTTTTGCATGGAATAAATTGAAGTTTTGGAGGTGATGCCCCGATAGTTGATGGCATTTCGTCACTATGTTTTTCAAAACAATATTGCTACTTAAACCAGAAGATAAATGTGCCTGAAAAGAGATGATAAAACGGGTTTCTGTTCGACAAGAGGATAAACGCTTATCCTCTGGTTACACAGCAAACAGAGTTGACCAGAGGTGATAGAACCGGCCTTTACTGGGCCGCTAATGAACATACCTCAGCAAGTTTCGATCATTGAAATCTTTACAACCTAAAAAAGCATTTTTTTGTTCCTCCTGAAAACTGGTATTACCTCGAGTTAGGTTAAACTTGGTTAGTATTTGTTCCCTTTGGGAAACAACGCGTTCAGTTACTGTCCGTGTGATTTTTAAAGCAGGATGGTGACCAATTTCATTTGGGATGATAAAGGTTTCTATGCATTTTTTTGTAGTATTAAAACTTTGGGTGTAAAACTGAAGGAACCGGGAGCCCGGAGCCGGCCGTACAAGTACCTCACCTCTAGTCACTTATGTCCTGTGATTAAGCTGCAAGAGGATTTGCATGTATGGTGACTCCAGTGATTTTGTTGTCTATTAAGGGTTTATAACTTTTGGGATTTACTTGAACTTTTTCCAGATCATCAAGCACATCAAATCCATGGATGACCCTGGAAATAAGCACACAAAAGAGTAAAATGTAGAGAAAAATGGGGCAACAGGAAAGAATGATCACTTAATGTGAGTGTGTACAAAATAGATGCTAAGGAAAAAAGCTGTAAAAACAAATGTTACGGGCAGATCCCGATTTTGGGCGGATCGCGATCTGCCCAGGCCGATCGGAATCAGGCCAGCTAAAATTGGGCAGATGGGGATCCGCCCGGGTGAAATTGGGCAGATTGCTATTTTTGAATACTGCGAGAATTTGGCAGAGCTGGTGGACGCATGAGCAAAGTAAGTGATGGACAACAACACCTGAAGATGCGTGCGTTGTCTGATAAGACCCGAAGATCAACCTGGCAGCGCTCAAAACGTGACAATCGCTGATCAACCTGGCAGCGCTCAGAAGTGACAATTGTTTAGGGAAATGACAGGAGTAAAGTCACTGGAAACGAAGCAGCAAAACGGATAGCCATTGAAAATTTGCAAGGCAGGCTAAAAATATGTTAAAACTTAATTCATGCCGCTTCAAGTGGGCTGCAACGTCACGCTCCCATACCCTGACATTAATTGGGAAAAAGGCGAGGCGCGCCACGCAGTAGCTGTCATCTTGGAAGTAACAGCTGAGGACATGCACAAACTGGATACAAAAAAGGGTATCCTGTCAACTCTTTATGCGAGAAATCAATTCGGCGATTACAAAGAACGTTTCTTGACTCTTTAGGATGTGCCAAATACTCAAATTCCCCTGTGAACTGTCAGCTGAGAAAATTCTAACTTCGGAGGCCACGGATTTCAAAAGTGTTTTTTGCAAAAGTAGCTGCCAACCCAACCTCTGTGCATGCAAGAAAGCAGGCGTTTTACGTAACTCATCAGTGTCATACCTCATCATCCTGCGGAAACAAATAATCGTCATTAAGGCCAGAACTTCCTATTCAATTTTCTTCTTTTCTTTTTTGAATTAGAATTTGCCCCCCAAAAAAGGGGCAGATCGCAAACCGCCCAAAAATCGGGATTTGCCCGTAACATAAATACTCTCACTCTTCCAACCCTGAATTAATAACAACAACACATAATAAACAACAAACGAAGTGCAAGCGGAGTACATGTTACCTTTCATTGTACATCTTTCTGTCAATCGCTTTTATTGAACGTTTGACAGCAGAGATACGGCCACTTTCTTCGCAATGACCTGGACGATGACAAATAAGTGATCTACCGTTGACCTGCCAGCTCTAAAACCAGCCTGCTCCTCTGCTTTATGCTCTTGCTATCCGTTCTTGATCTTCGCATTCAGTACCTTCCCGTACACTTTGCTATTTGTCCCGGTCACTGAGAGCCCCCGGTACCCAGTTGTTACAATCGTCCTTTCTCCCTTTTTTTTGCAGATGGCTTTGATCCAGGACTCTTTCCACTCCCTTGGTACCTTGTAACCCCAGATGCATCGTTGCATCAGTTCAAGATCCATCCATATAGGTCAGTCATTGCGCAGATTTCCCCGCTCAGGGAAAACCCCTTTCCATTGGCTCGTGACGTCAGCATTACTGCCGCGAAAACCAGAAAAGTCGGAAACAATGCTTTTCTTATGGGAGAGAGCAAATTTTTCTTAATGAATCATTTAAATTTCTTACTTTTAAATCCTTTGAAACTATCTGTGAGTCGAAAAGAACGTTCAGACATTAGCATTCAGGGTTTCGATTTTGCCGAATTTGTGTTCTTTCATTTTTACCGTTTACTCTGCATCAGCCATTTTTACACGCGAATCTATACCACTAGATGGCTTGTTACATCGCTGACTTCAAAAATCATTTAAAAATATAAAAACGCAAATTCAGCTGAATTGAAACCCTTGACGCTAATTTCTAAACGTTCCTTTTGACACTCAGAAAGCTTCAAAGGATTTAAAAGTAAGAAAAAATGATTCATTAAGAAAAAGTTCTCTCCCATAAGAAAAGCATAGTTTCCGACATTTCTGGTTTTCGCGGCAGTAACGCTGACGTCATGCACAGAAGATTCTCATTTCGGTTTCGGGAATGACTGACCTATATGGATGGATCTTCCATCAGTTTTCTGAGGCACTCAACGAGCTTGACGAACGAGCGAACGAATTCGGCATTAGATTTTTGAAAAAACCCGAGTTTTTCTAAAGGGCACACGGTGGATCCAGTCATAGGGCAGGCCGCACACGGCACATCACGTGAGTTGGTTTGCTCATTTACGTAGTGTTTTCGCTCATAAAACAAAGCAGAATACATGATTTTTATGTATTTTTCGTCGCAGATTTCATTTTTGATGACTGTTTTGCTGATTATTGGGTTTAGATACGTATTTTGGCACCATTCCAGATAAATATAGAGATATTGTTAAACAACAGATAAGTTCAAACTTTCTACACTCATTTCAATCAGAGTTTTAAGTGTTCAAGGGACTTTCCTCTCCGCTAAAATTTTTAAATATCGTATATAAAACGTTTCTTACTCATATATTTTACCCTTCCCCCTCCTCTCCCCCAAAAAATGAATTAAAAGAAATCCGAAAATTTTGATAGGAAAACAGAGGACCTCCTTTCCTCTTCATTCCTGAAAGGGCACCTCTTTAGCTTTCTTACAAAAGAAAATGATAAGGGGGAAAATATGAGAGAAAAATACAAATCAAATACACATCAATCAAATATAAATCATACATTATCCGAGCCTTCCTAAATAAAGGCCCCGCAAGTCACCAATGTACACTGTCACTGCCTTTATTTATACTTAGGTATCTAATGGAGCTTCTTCGGCTTCATGATTGCTGCTGAAGCTCAAATTACCTCAATTTCCTCTATTACCTAACTTCTAACTTTCCGAAAAAATTAAACATCATAAAAGAAAAAAAAAAAAAAAAAATTCCGATGTCAAAAAAACACGAGTTTTTCAGAAATAGTTAGGAGATAGAAAAGAATTTAGGCCATTTTTGACTTTAGCAGCAGGTCGTAGATGAAAGATACATCATTAGACACCGACTTGATATAATTTTCCCGTCTTTTCAGATGGAAAGGAAACGGACTAGTATCATATGCGTCCATTAGGACATTTGAGAGGAAAGCCCCCGTTATCTGAAACAACGTGGACTTTTTTTAACCACGCGCGGCATGTTTTCCCATGTATTTTTGTCTCCTGGATTCGAAAATGACCTTGGTTTCTCTTCACCATACACCAGTTTTGCGGAAAATCACATTTCCCGAAAAATCCATTTTAAGTGGAAAATCTCAATTTTCCGGAAAATTGGTGGGTGTTGGAGAAAAACCAAGGTCATTTTCGGACTCAGCACTAAAAATTACTTACAGATCACCTATCACATATCCAGTGTTTATTCATCGCAGACCTATGGAATTCAAATTCCCTCGAGCCACCATTTTATTTATTTCACTTTTTCAAAGTCATTTGAGCTTTATTCCCAAAATGGCACTTTGGGGCAGCTAATTTTTCTTGATACTACATCTCCAGGGATCAGTTACAGGGTTGCCACAAGAATTTGGAAATGATTTACCCTGACTTTTTCAGGTTTTCCCTGACGAAAAATTGAGAAATTCCCTGACCTTTGAGAACGCGCGCCATGATCGCACAGCAAAAGAGCCGTATGCAAAAACGACATTTTTCACCCCCCCCCCCACGAAAACTTATTCAAACTTCGTCTATCAGTTACTAATACTGGAGCGCTTCTTTCCCCAAATTTTCAGACCCCCAAAAAATTTTTTTTGGGGGGGGGCGCTAGGAGGGGGAGTGGAAGTCAAAACCTGGGACCCTCGATATCTTTCGAACGAAACAAGATATTGAGGCCCGGTTTGGACGAAAAATCGTCTAAAATTGCATACTTTCAGATTCTAAAGGTCAAAATCCCAAAATTAAATTTTTAACTTAACTTATGTGTTTTTTTTTTCAGTTTTTGAGGAAAAACAATTTCTTTTAAACGGATTAAACTGAAATTTCACATTTTTTGATTTGAACCAAAACCAGTTTTTTAAATTGTTCGTCTTTTTCCGCATCCTACGAGTGGTCGTATAAGCTAGGGAACCGAACGGTTCCGGAGTTATGATCGATTGAAGTTTCCGCTCAACGGGCGCCGACCGATTTTCGCGCGCAAAAAAGTCGGATTTGACTGTTATTAAATCAGATTTAATGTTCAAACTGAGCAAAATGCATTATTAGGGACTCTTGAGGGTCGCTGAGTCCAGAAATTACAGATACTTCCAAAAACTTCACGTTTTTAAAATTACAGCTCCGTAGCGCTATTTTAGAGGCCCACTGAGCGCCAACCGGCCGCTCAGTGGTCCTGTACGGAGTATCTGTAATTTCTGGACTCAGCGACCCTCAAGAGTCCCTAATAATGCATTTTGCTCAGTTTGAACATTAAATCTGATTTAATAACAGTCAAATCCGACTTTTTTGCGCGCGAAAATCGGTCGGCGCGCGTTGAGCGGAAACTTCAATCGATCATAACTCCGGAACCGTTCGGTTCCCCAGCTTAAACGACCACTCGTTGGATGCGGAAAAAGACGAACAATTTAAAAAACTGGTTTTGGTTCAAATCAAAAAATGTGAAATTTCAGTTTAATCCGTTTAAAAGAAATTGTTTTTCCTCAAAAACTGAAAAAAAACACATAAGTTAAGTTAAAAATTTAATTTTGGGATTTTGACCTTTAAAATCTTAAAGTATGCAATTTTAGACGATTTTTCGTCCAAACCGGGCCTCAATATCTTGTTTCGTTCGAAAGATATCGAGGGTCCCAGGTTTTGACTTCCACTCCCCCTAGCGCCCCCCCCCCAAAAAAAATTTTTTGGGGGTCTGAAAATTTGGGGAAAGAAGCGCTCCAGTGTTAGTAACTGATAGACGAAGTTTGAATAAGTTTTAGTGGGGGGGGGGCGGAAAATGGCGTTTTTGCATACGGCTCTTTACACCTTGCTAGCTACCATCCCACTAATATAGCGTCTCATTTGAAACGCGCTTAAGCTAAGGAGTCAGAAATTAATTG